CTGATGTTTTGTAATGGGACCGTCTGTTAGAGATAAGTATGGCAAGATGGTATGGGTACAATGTTCAGGTATCTGTTGCCAAAAACTGAGATACTGTTACTCATAGACTCCTCCCAAACCAAATAATCTAACCAGGAATTACCAAAATGACACTTCATTTTTCCAAAAGGGCAGTTAAGATTACGCAGAGGTGTGCTGTTAAAGTTTCTGGGACAAGGGACTAGCGCCAGAAGTGCACTGACCCAGGGCTGTGCGAATCCTGGGTGCTGGTTCTGAGATGAGGTGCTTAGGTCCTCTCTAGCTTCTCATTCAGAAAGGGGTTTGGAGGGAGATTTTTTTTTTTTATAAATAGTTGAAGATAATTTAAAAATCTCAAAATGTAAACTTGCATTAGAAGGTCTGCATCAATGTTTGAATTCTATGTACACTTTAAAAACAAACTTCTTCTGGGCTAGGAAGGTGGCTCAGTGGTAGAGCGCTTGCCTTTCATGCCTGAGGCCCTGGGTTCGATTCCTCAGCACCACATAAGCAAAAAGAAAAAAGCCAGAAGTGGCACTGTGGCTCAAGTGGTAGAGCACCAGCCTTGAGCTGAAGAGCTGAGGGACAGCGCCCAGGCCCAGAGTTCAGGCCCCACAACTGGACCCAAAAAATAAAAAATAGATAAAATAAAAACCAGCATCTTCATTTCGAGGACAGGTGGTTCCCACCTATAATTCTAGCTATTCAGGAGGCTGAGATTTGAGTATTGCAGTTCAGAGCCAACCTGGACAAGAAAGTCCAGGAGACTCTTATCTCCAGTTAACAAAAAAAGAAACCTGTGGCTCAAGTGGTAGAGCACTAGACTTGAACAAAAATGCTCAGGGACAGTGCCCAGATCCTGAGTTCAAGCCCCTGGACAGGCACAAAAAAATAACAACAAAATTTGGTTAAGGGCTGAATACTTGCCTCACAAGAATAAAGTCCCAACACAGTGAAAAAAAAAACTTTTCAATTCTAAATGTCTTCTATTAGATATATGTTGGAAGTATAATCCCACCATCTCACCAATGTTGTTTTCCCTGTTTCCCTCCCTTGACTCCAATCTTTCTAGAACTTCACTAGGACATAGAGCACCTTTGGGAGAAGATTAGAAAGGTGGGGCTGGGAATGTGGCTTAGTGGTAGAATGCTTGTCTAGCATGCATGAAGCCCTGGGTTCGATTCCTCAGTGCCACATAAACAGAAAAAGCCAAAAGTGGCACTGTGGCTCAAGTGGTAAGAGTACTAGCCTTGAGCAAAAGAAGCTCAGGGACAGTGCCTAGGCCCTGAGTTCAAGCCCCAGAACTGGAAAAAAGATCAGAAAGGTATCCCTTTCTGATTATTTCATTTCAAGTCTACTTGAGTTTTGGGGAAGATTGTCCTACTGGCTCTTAAGTATCAGCACTATAGCACAGCACCACACACAGCCACCAAGCAGTAGCCGATTGCTGTCCCTGTCCAGTGTGCTGAAATGCTGCTTTCCATACTTCCTTCATCCTGTCCCAACTTTCACTGCACATCACTCATTTCCTTCTGAGCCATGCTTAGTCCTTTTACACCCTCCCTGCCCCTCTATTGCCCCTCACTTCCAGTGAGTCCAGTCTAGAAGGCTTTGTATCTCCTTTTCTCCTATTTCCATCTCCAATTATAAAATCCTGAAACCTGCCTTTCCATATTGATCCCACCAGTGACACTGTGGCTTTGTGGTAGAGCACTAGCCTTGAGCTGAAGAGTCAGGGATTGTGCCCAGTCCCAGCATTCAAACCCCATGACTGACCAAAAAAAAAAAAGAATTAGAAATTCCATATTGATCTCACTTTATGCTCACCCTCACTCTTGGGGCATATATCCAGGTCAGCCTGGACTCCACAGTAAGAACCTGCCTCAAAAATTACAATGCATGCAACACTTTCCAGGGATGGATTAGATTTAGAGAATGAAGACTATCACTTATGTATTACATATTTATTAGTTGATCACTGTAACATAGACACCTTAAGACTGGACATGGCTGCACAAGGAAGGTGCTGATATGGTGCCTAAGCTTAGTTAGAATGTGTGGTGTGAACACAGCCATGAATAACAGTGTCAGTCATGTGCCAAATGGAGTATGAACACTATATATAAGTAACAGGATGTCCTGGTTTCTATTGTCACCTTTTCATCCTTTGAACAGATTACAAGATTCAAGACATTGTTAGCATTCTAGATCCTCTAAATTCCAGAAAAGAATTTGGTTGTAAATGGATGATTTGCTGCCTGATAACAATGCCATAGTGGACATGATTGACTTCTTTTATTCACAAATGGCAAGAGAGTCATGTAGCATATCTTACAGCAAAAGGAAATTGTGACACATCTCTTCTACCATAAGTGATAGTTTGAGTCTATATCACATGAGCAAAGAGATCAAGTGAACTTGTCCAGCAGGACAGTGAGAACAAATGAGGTTAGAATTTGCTGGCTGGGCCCAATAATTTCTGGCAAAACAAGGAGTAATGGTAAACTTTGATTCCAAGCACAGAACTTACCTTTCTCTCTGTCTATAAATTATTTGCTTACGCTAGACTATAGACTCAGCAACCCTTTCTAGAATGTTAATTTCAGTTAAGACGAATAACAAGAGAGATTTTTCTGTGGAGAACTAAAGGATCTGTTCACATACATGAGGACTCAGCCCTGCTGGCTTTGTTTTTTGTTTTTTTGGGTCCGGTTGTGGGGCCTGAACTCTGGGCCTGGGTGCTGTCCCTCAGCTCTTCAGCTCAAGGCTAGCACTCTACCACTTGAGCCACTGCACCACTTTCGGCTTTTTTCTTATGTGGTGCTGAGGAATCGAACCCAGGGCCTCAAGCATGTAAGGCAAGTGCTCTACCACTGAGCCAACTTCCCAGCCCTAGCCCTGCTGGCTTTGGTTGACCTCTGGCTTCATCTTTTACAGGAAACCTTGCGAAATTGGGCTGATGAAATTTCTGTCTCATGGTAACATGAGGGCAGATAGGGACTCCCTAGGGAAATACAACTTGAAGAGCTCTGGGAGTTTGGCACTTATGCAGCAGGGCTACAATTTTCCATAAGATAGAATCTCCTTCTGTTGCTTTACAGGCTTCTTAAGAATTCACATTGTTGGGCTGGGAAGGTGGCTCATTGGTAGAGTGCTTGCCTTGCATGCATGAGGCTCTGAGTTCGATTCTTCAGCACCACATTAACAGAAAAAGCCAGAAGTGGCTCTGTGGCCCAAGTGCTAGAGCATTAGCCTTGAGCTGAAGAGCTGAGGGACAGCATCCAGGCTGAGTTCATTCCCCATGACTGACCAAAAGAAAAAAGACACATAATTCACATTGTTGGGGCTGGGAAGGTAGCTCAGTGGTACAGTGTTTGCCTCGTATGCATGAGGCCCTGGGTTCGATTCCTCAGCACCACATTAACAGAAAAGGCTGGAAGTGGCACTGTGGCTCAAGTGATATAGAGCTAGCCTTGAGTGAAGAGCTCGGAGACAATGCCCAGGCCTAGAGTTCAAGCCCCACGACTGACAAAAAGGAAAAAAAGAAGAATGCACATTGTAGTTCTTTATACACAAATGCTTTCTGCATCTGTATGTCTCCAAGAATGGGACAGTGATGTAGAAGAGCTCTTCTAACACGCTGCCCCACACAGGAGCCAGCCTAACGATACTATTTCCTAATTGACTAAGCCAGATAAGCACAGGACTATGTGCCTTGTAGCTAAGAGCCTGGTAGCTCAGACTGTTGGAAAGCATTGTCAGGGCACACATGAAATGTGGAGGCATATCTGTCAGTTTTTTACCCTGAAGGCGCTTAATTCTGCAGCATCTTGCACCCTAGCAGCGCTCTCCAAACTACAATGGCAGGAAACTGAATTCCTGTCTATAGGAGCTCCAACTCCCTGTAAGTAATGGCCCCCAAACCATGCTCCTCTCTGCCTGTCACCTCCCCCAGCTTTCCCAGAATCAACCAGGAAAGTAAATAGCCTGACACCAGGAGTTGCCAAGCAGGACACAGATAATTTGTGTCTTCAGGTTGCATGATTTGGGGGAAATGACCTGTGAATGAGAAACACAGAAATCCGGTAAGTTTTCTGTTGCATGTTTGTTTTTCTTCTAGTAAACTGCATTGAAGGACTTTCCTCAGACATCATGCCAGGCTTTGGTACCCCTGATCACTGAAAGCAAAGCTCAGGATAAATACCAGCCTCCTCATGCTGACAGCCAGTGACATCCGGCTCTGCTCCACCAGACAGCAGGTGAGACATACTCCAACTAACTTAAAAAAAATAACTGACTTAAACTGTTGTAAAAAATAGCTGACTGTTTTTCTTTCCTTTAAAGAGTATGATTGTCTTTAACAAAAATTATCCTATTTTGTATTTATCATGTGAGATCTTTGCCAGGAAGAGGGGAATGTGGAAAAGATTCTAGTAAAAAGCCGGGCGCTAGTGGCTCACACCTGTAATCCTAGCTACTCAGGAGGCTGAGATCTGAGGATCACAGTTCAAAGCCAGCCCAGGAAAGAAAGTCCATGAGACTCTTATCTCCAGTAAACCACTCAGAAAACCAGAAGTGGTTCTGAGGCTAAAGTGGTAGAGCACTAGCCTTGAGCTGAAGAGCTGACAGACAGTGCCTAGGCTCAGAGTTCAGGCCCCACAACCGACCAAAAAAAAAAAAAAAAAAAGATGGCAGTACATTATAGTCTCCCATAGAAGTGACATTCTGGTTCCACTCCCCTCTTCTTTCATCACTACCACTCTGGTATCTTCCAAGACAGATCTGGGTTCAGAATTGATAGGGTCAGAATTGAGGACTGGGGCTCTGCGGCATGTCCCATGGCTAGGTTTCCTAGGGGGAACTGCTATGACTCTCTGAGAACTAGTAGGAATGAACACCTGGGCTGTCTTGGAATATAGATTCCAAAGTGGGAGGTGCCAGTCTGTTGTGTCTCCTTGAACCTCTGCTTTCATTTCAGCAAGATGAAGCTTCTCACGGGCCTGATTTTCTGCTCCTTGATCCTGGGAGCCAGCAGCGACCTCTCATTTGTTAGAGAGGCTACTCTTGGTAAGGCTGATGGAGGGGCAGCCTATGAGAACTCAGAAGCCACTTTTTCAGGTTGTACTGGCCTTAGAGACTGAATACATTGGAGCAATTCTTAACTAGACTGAATATAGGCGTGGGAGGATTTAACCAGAGGACATAACCCAGCAGTGCAGGAGGCCAATCTCACCTGAATGATATGTCTATTTACCGCTCTGTTGTTCACAGTGCTAGGTACATATAAGTCACATGGAGACCTTTAAAAACTACTGATGTCTGCTGCTGTTTTCTTCCTTTTTGTATGTGGTCTTGGCTATGAACAGCGCATTGAGTGTTTATCCAGATGATCAGAATCTGCATCCATAGCTGAGATTCCTTGCCCTACTGCTTCCTCAAACAACCACAGCATCAGTCCTGGAAGGGCAAAGGCACAAGGCAGAAGAGTTCCACCTGTGCAGCCTTTCCTTGCCTCTGTGTTGTCCTCTTACTCAGAGAAGTTCCCATTGTATGCAGCTCTGTTCCAGAACAGTGTGTGTGTGTGTGTGTGTGTGTGTGTGTCCATGTGCTGATACGGGGGCTTGAACTCAGGGCCTGAGCTCTGACCCTTATCTTTTTTGCTCAGAGTTGGTGATCCACTACTTAAGCCACACCTCCACATTTGGCAATTTGGGGATTAACAGAGATAAGGTGTCATGGATTTTCCTGCCCAGACTGGCTTTGAACCTTCAGCCTCAGATCTTAACCTCCTGAGTATCTAGGATTGAAGGCACGAACCAGCCAAAACAGTAGTTGTTGCTCAGAAGCATTGTGATGGTCAGGCTGTCTCACTAGGAGAATGCACTGCTAGCATCTACTGGTAGAATTCAGTGATGCTGTAAACACCCTTTGGTGCTCAGAATATATTGAAACAAATATTCATCTGGCCTAACACTTAAAGTGTGCAAATGTGGAACTTAAATGATCCTGATCTATAAAGATACCTTCTTTCCAATCACCAGTAGCTCACAGTAGTATAATACAAATACAGCTCAAGTGAATTCTCTAATGACTGTGCTAGAGTTCTGTGCAGGGAAGTGGAACTGTAGTTCAAGTGGTAGAGTGTCAGCCTTGAGCAGAAAATGTCAGAAACAGAGCCCAGGACCTGAGTTCAGGCCCCGATCAGGCCCCGATACCTCTGCTTGCATGCATGCATGTGCATGCAAGTGGGCACCAGCATGCACACACATACACATACACAAGTGTCTAGGTTCAGAGTTTTGTGTAGAAGGCAACTAAACATGGAATGTTCTTCTTAACTCATGGTATTTAAGACTGTTAAGACCACAGGCTGCAAGCTTCAATGTGTTTCATTCTTAATTCCCCTAGAAGGTGTCCGCAGATTCTTTGTGTTCACCTCATGTCCTTTTGCCTTTTCCAATGCAGGGGCTTGGGATATGTGGCGAGCCTATAGGGACATGAGAGAAGCCAATTGGATAGGGGCAGACAAATACTTCCATGCTCGGGGGAACTATGATGCTGCCAAAAGAGGCCCTGGGGGCGTCTGGGCTGCTGAGGTGCTCAGGTAAGGCAGGTTCTGGGGATGCCAGGCCTCCTGAGCACAGCTTGACTGCCTGGGGGATCAGGAGAGGATAAAGCCTGGAAATGGTTCTGGTTAGGGGTGGCTCTTTCTTCTCCTATCATCCTGCATCCCTTCCAGTCTCACAGCCCATGCCCAGTGCACGGCCTGGGGTGCAGACAGAGCCAGAGAAAGAATGATAAAACATGCTCCCATTTCAAATTAGAAACCTGGAGGGCTACAGAGTGATTTCCAGACTTGCCACTCTGCACAGAGGAATAGATGTGTGATGGGCATGGACAGTATCTTAGTCTCTCTGTCCTGGGGTCTTGGGGTTCCTGTTTGAGTTATCTTTAGAAAGGGGAGAATTGGGATGATGGAATGTGTCTCTTCAGCATGGTAGTGAATCTTCTCCCTGTTTGTCTTGATTAGTGATGCCAGAGAAAATGTTCAGAGTTTCCTGGGTCGTGGGGATGATGACACTCTGGAGGACCAGAAAGCAAACCGTTGGGGTCGCAGTGGCAATGACCCCAATCACTTCAGACCTGCTGGCCTGCCTGACAAGTACTGAACTTCTTCACTCTCTCTCCAGAGATGGGAGATGAGGTCCTGAGGAAAGAGGCCTGAAGTTTTCAGAGCTGTGTCCACAGAAGCTGGCATAGCACATAATTCTTGCCTTAATAAACACTTCAGAAATCGAATTTCTTGCATCTCTGTGTTACTCTTCACTGTAAGAGGGGCCTGTTTGGTGACAAGGGGTGAATGGTAAACAGGCAGCCTGGAGTGGCAGCCTGAGTCATAGTATTTGGTGTAGGGAGTATGATTTCAGTGGTAATATAGGACAGGGTGATATAGGGTAGACACCTGCACTGACCTACCCAGAGTCAGACCCATGGACTTCTTCATTCCTTCCTGGTTACATGAACTCTATTCTGCTGTCCAAGTTTTACTCCTAATTGGCCCAGGCTTCTGTGGACAGGGGACACAGCATTGGGAGGATTGGATGGTAGTGTCCTGCCCCAGCACTGGCCACCTTGGTCATCTGTCCAGCAACACTTTCCAGGTCCAGTTATTCACCATCTCCTGCCCATTTTATGGGAGAAATACGTTCCAGGCAATGTATTTATTTTTTTGGGAGGTCCAGTCGTAGGGCCTGAATCTGGGCCTGGGCGCTGTCCCTCAGCTCTACAGCTCAAGACGAGGGCTCTACCACTTGAGCCACAGCGCCACTTCTGGCTTTTTTTTCTTTTTGCTTATGTGGTGCTGGGGAATCAAACCCAGGGCCTCATGCATTGCAAGGCAAGCACTCTACCACTGAGCCATCTTCCCAGCCCCGGCAATGTATTTATTTTAATTGCCTTATTTCATGTCAAAATGATAATGTATATGATATCACCCTTTTGTGAATACCTTCAACACTTCTGCACATTATGTAAATCAAAATTGTGGAGGTGGCATTTACAAAGAGTGAGTAGGATAAAGAAGACTGAGGTAAAATAAAAAAAGAAGAAGCCACTTATATGACACATGGCCAGGGATGACAAGTACGCTTCACTTGGACTATCCATTCTAACTGTTGGGTTATTACTCTTTGAAGCAACGCAATAAAGAGGTTCAGTTGAAAAGAGAAAAAAAAAAGACTGATTTGATCAGCAGGTCCACTCAGGAGATAGAACCCAGGTAGCATTTGAAAAGCAAACTATCAATACATGGGGTTATTTGTTGACAACCGGATTTACTACTAAGAGTTATGAACACAAGAAGGCATAAATTTGAGAAGGGTTCTCCTGGAGGCTGACATTTGTGTTTCATTGCCAAGTCTGTGCCCCATTGGGCAGCAGCTAGTGTATGTTGGGCACCTCTGCTACAGCTGAGGACGTGACAATGGGTCTTGGTAGGAGGCTGCCCAGAAGAGCAGTGGAATTCACAGGAATGTAGTGGGATCCTGCAGCATTACTTAGAGGCCTATTTGGAAGAGGGATGGATTCCTGAAATCAATTGTTTGCCCCTAAATCCAGATATTGAGCTCTATTTTCCATTTCTAATTTCTTTTTTTTAATTGTGAAAATACTGTACATAGGGGTTAAAATTACATGGGCAAGATAATGAGTACATTTCTTATCAAGCATTGTTGCCTCCTCCTTTGTTTCCCCTTCCCATGCCTTCCCATACTTCCCCCCCGCCCCCCCGCACCTTCCCACTACCCCCCACCCTCCCATCCCTGGTCAAAGTTGTAAAGTTCATTTTTCCACTTAACGTCTTGTACATCTCATTGTTGTAATGGGTCCACCTGTATCCCTATTTAAACAATTTGTTTTTTCCCTTCCCCTCCACAAATTATACCAACATAAAATACAGTGAAAGCAGGGATTATACCATGGGGGAGGGACATACAAAGCAACAAAGAAATCATCTTATAAATATGTTAGAAACAATCAAAAGAAAGAAAAAAAACATTTGAATCCTTATCTTGGGGTTCATTTTACCTAACATCAACTTGTCTGACAGTTTCCGTTTGTCTCAGACATATACTAGTTATTGCAAATAAGGGAAACCATGGGGCCTATGTTTCTTTGAGCCTGGCTTACTTCACTTTATATAATTTTTTCCAAGTCTTTCCATTTCCTAACAAATGGGGCAAGGTCATTCTTTCTGATGGAGGCATTGAATTCCATTGTGTATATATACCACATTTTCTTGATCCATTAATCTACTGAGAGGCATCTGGGTTGGTTCCATAACTTAGGTATGGTAAATAATGCTGCAATAAACATAGTTGTGCTGGTAGCTTTAGTATAGTCTTGTTTGTGATCATTTGGATAAAAGCCCAAAAGTGGGATTGCTGGGTCATAGGGGAGTTCTATGTGGAGTCTTTTGAGGAAACTCCATACTACTTTCCAAAGTGGTTGAACAAGTTTACATTCCCACCAGCAATACAGTAAGGTTCCTTTCTGTCCACATCCCTTCCACCATCTGTTGTTATTAGAGTTCTTGATTATAGCCATTCTACCTGGGGTGAGGTGGTATCTCAATGTTGTTTTGATTTGCATTCCTTTATGACTAGGGAGGTTGAACATTTCTTCATGTGTCTATTGGCCATCTTTCTTTCCTCTTCAGAGAAGTTTCTCTTTAAGTCTTTAGCCCACTTATTTACTGGGCTGTTGTTTCTTTGAGGATTTGTTGTTGGGGGATTTAATTTTTGAGTTCCAGGTATATTTTAGATATGAGACTCTTGTCCTTTGTATGGCTAGTGAAGATCTTCTCCCAATCCATGGGCTTTATATTGATCTTGCTAGCTATGTCCTTTGCCATGCAGAAGCTCTGCAATTTCATGCAATCCCATTTGTCCAACCTTTCTTTGATTTGTTGTGTTTCTGGGTCTCTATTAAGAAAATTTCGGCCTGTGCCAAGGGGACCTTGGGTTTCTCCTATTCCATCCTGTAAATTTTTCGGAGTGTCTGCTTTGACTCCAAGGTCTTTGATCCATTTGGAGTTGATTCTGGTACAGAGTGATATATAAGGATCTAACTTTAGTTTTCTACAAGTGATTAACCAGTTTTGCCAGCACCATTTACTGAAGAGGCTGTCTTTCTTCCATTCTATTTTTTTAGCTTCTTTATCGAAGATTAGATGGCTATAGGTCTGTAGGTTCATTTCTAGGTTTTCAATTCTATTCCATTAGTCCTGAGGTCAGTTCTTGTGCCAGTACCAAGCTGTTTTGATTACTATGGCTTTGTAGTAGAGTTTGAAATTTGGTATTGATATTCCTCCAGCACAGTTATTTCAGTTAAGGATCGTTTTTTGCTATTCTGGGTCTTTTATTGTTCCATATGAATTTTTGGATTGCCTTTTCTATTTCCTTGAAGAATGAGGTTCGAATATTGATAGGTATCACATTGAATTTGGAGATAGCCTTGTGAAGTATTGCCATTTTCACGATGTTGATTCTTTCAATCCAAGAGCATGGGAGGTTTTCCCACTTTTTAAATTCTGTTTTGATTTCCTTTTTCAGGTTTTTAAAGTTTTCATCATAGAGGTCCTTCACTTCTTTTTGTTGGGGAGGTGGGGTCCGGTCCTGGGTCCTGAACTGTGGGCTTAGGCGCTGTCCCTCAGCTCTTTAGCTCAAGGCTAGTGCACTACCACTTGAGCCATAGCAGCACTTCCGGCTTTTTTTTTCTGCTTATGTGGTGCTGAGGAATCGAACCCAGGGCCTCATGCATGCAAGGCAAGCGCTCTACCACTGAGCTACCTTCCCAGGCCCTTTCACTTCTTTGGTTAAGTTAATTCCTAGGTATTTTATTTTTTGTGGGACTTACGAATGGAGTTGTTTCCTGATTTCAGCCATGCTTTTCTCATTGTTGACATACAGAAAAGCCATTGATTTTTGAGGGTTAATTTTATACTCTGCTACTTTGCCAAGGTTTGAATCAGCTTGAATAATTTGGGAGTGGAGTCTGTAGGATTCTTTAAATACAACTTCATATCATATGCAAAGAGGGAGAGTTTTACTCCATCTTTCCCTATTTGGATCCCTTTTATGTTTGCATCTTGTCTTATTGCTGCAACTAGGCATTTTAATACTAACTTGAAGAGAAGTGGAGAGAGTGGACATCTTTGTCTCGTTCCTGAGTTAAGAGAATATGGCTTTTGTTTTCACCATTAAGTATAATTTCAGCTCTAATTTCTAAGGAATTAATTGCAGCTAAAATAATGGTTGAAGCCATTATGACTTTATAGCCCTTATAAATGGAGATACCAAGTAGAAATTATCCTCTCTTCTCTCCTCCCTCCCCCTCCCTTCCTTTTCTCCCTCTTCCTCTCCCTCCCTCCCTCCCTTTCTCTCTCTCTCTCTCCTTTTCCTTTTCCCTTTCCCTCTCCCCCTCTTTCTCCCTCTTCTGCTCCTTCTCCCTCTCTTTCCCTCTCATCTTCTCCCTCTTCCTCATTCCTCAGGAAGACATTGTACTAATCTGTATGAGAAGAGTCATTAAGAACAAAATTATGGGCTGGGAAGGTGGCTCCATGTTTGCCTTGCATGCATGAGGCCCTGGGTTCGACTCATGAGGAACACATAAGCAGAAAAAGCTGGAAGTGGTGCTGTGGCTCAAGGTAGTAAGAGTACTAGCCTTGAGCTAAAGAGCTAAGGGACAGTGCCAATGCCAAATAAAAAAGAGCCACACTATTTTGTATCTTAATCTTATACTTCCAGTAAATTTCTGTATGTAAGTCATCAAGTTTGTGGACTTTGATTATGTCCGATGGAGTTAAGACACATTAGGTGGTGTCAAACACCTTGAACATTCAATTGAGTTGACACAGAGTTTGTTGGGAAAATGTTCTGTCCTTTGGATACCACTAAATTTCCCTGAGGTGAGAGCCACTGAGCATCCTGTACAGGACAGAAGTTTCACAGAAGACAGGAAGAAGACAAGCCCATAGAACCAAGAAAGGAGGCCTTTATTTTATTCCTGTTTCTCTAGCACCCTCTACTGACAAATCGTAGCATGATGGCTCACAAAGAAGAAAGAACTGTAGCTCAGATATATCCACAATTGGGGCCAGGATGGGTGGATA